TTAGAGGTGCCCCCACCGAAGGTCTTAAGTTTTTTAACCCAACACCCGATTTTTGAACGAATTTGTTCCCAAATCATAAAAATCATAAAAATGCATAAAAAAGAAACAGCTGAAATTAATTAAATTAACGTTGTTAATTGTTTTAAATAAATAATAAAATGTTTAATCAATTGGGTTTCCTTTTTCAAAAGCTTGACTCAGATTGAAAAATCGGTTTTCCGGTTAAATAAGGATGTACAAATTGCAAATCTGTGGTACAATTAGTTTTTAATTAGAATTAAATAATAGGCACATTAATTTCAAATTCGGGACAAATGGGGGTACCAACCTTTTTGAGTTGCAAAAAGATTTCAAAATTGTGGTAACAATATCATAGTTTAACTTCTGCTAGTTTTGCCGTAATAAGTGTAAAATTAAGTTATATTCAATTATCACGAAAAGTTATCCCAAAGTCTCAATTTAGTGCGGTTTCACGAGGATATCCCCCATGGTGAATTGCGAATACTGAACCTATGGGCAGGCGATATGAATATGAATTTTTCTGTTCGAAAATGCCTTGCCACAGAGATGGAAAATAGATGCATATTATGAGAGAATGTTTACAAATTAGTATACATAGATATATGTTATTCAACTGCCATAAACATAAACGCACGACGCCCAAAAAGCAATAAAAAGGGAGCGGTTTTACTGCATATTGATTAATTGCTTTCGTTATACATTTCAGATATTAAACCCTTATTGAGATCGTTTTACATTTTAATTAAATTAAAATTGTGCTAATTAAACGTGAACGTAAAATCGAGTTACGTAAATCCGTTTCCGAGTATAACAATTTGAAACAGAATGGAATTCTCATAATTATTATTTAATATATCCGCTCAAGACATGTACGTTGTTCATAATCACGTTTGTGTTTCGTAATTATACCATTTTGTTAGGGATTTAAGCTTCGTGCAGCCAGAGAGAGAGGGAAAGACGCGGAGGGTATTATAGTTAATGCCTTTTTTATGTAAAAGGTAAAACAAAATCTAGCTTTGAGAGCGTGCTCCGAAATTAGTTCGCTGTTTAGTTAGAAAATGTTCGTAATTATTATAGGTCGCAATGGGCTGGATACGTTTTTGGACGCAGTCAGTCGACCATCGATGACCATGAAGTACAGATTTCTTCAGCTGGTAGGCTAGTCAAAAATTAATGAAAAAGACACTTTCATTCGATTTGATTTTTTTTGTAGAAAACTCGGAACCAACGGCGTAAGTCTAAAGAGGACTAGATTTCAGGAAGTTTTGAGGGACAGGCAATTAAAATTGTTCATTGACTTAGTACCTATGTCGCAAGCCGCAAATTGTTATTAATCCATTAATTAGCGATCGTAAAACCGAATTAGAGTTTAATGAGAAGGTTAGGCCGCCAGACATTTGTTTAATGCGTTTAATGATGACACACGTCGAGGTGTTCCGTAATTTTGCACGAGCTCGATTGTTTATGGGAGTACTTGAGAAGTCACATAATATGATGAAATACGACATGCAAGGGTATAAATTCCATACTTTAAGTCGGTACTAAAAGTCACTATTTCTATACTATGAAATTTGAGCAATTTCGCTTTCCGCTACCTACCAATTATCCACATTTATCCGATCTACTGAAATTTTGTGGATTTGGCATCAAATTTGTTGCAAACCCGACCAAACGTTTCGCTTGATTACACAATCCAGAATGATCTTCACTTGCTCCGAACAATTCTAGCCAGTAAATTCGCTTTCGCAATATTAGCCGCTCAAATCTCGCTCAAGATTAACATTTATGAAAACAATGTCCAAAAAGCATGCGAAATTCTAAAATTTTAAGACAATTTCGAATCTACAAGATAAAGATGGTTGGCAGAACACCATCGGAGCACTTAAAAGGCCAATAAAATAAAATAACACAAACAGTACAAGAAGAGCTTACTAGGGTATTCCAGATTTCCAGTCGAAAGATTCAAGACAGGCGCTAATTTCTGAAATATTAGATTCAGAGTAGAAATTGGTTCTAATGAATCCATATGTGTCAAAAAATAAAGTCATTAAATACTCAATTGTACCGTGTGTTCTATTTTGGTTGACTGTAGTGTATCTCGGCTGTTTTCGAAGATAAGGACTTGCGGTTTTCGCGACCTGTACCGCTTTTTTGTGAAATTTAATATCAAACTGAATCAGTCTACTACGTTTGTTTCTGAGATACAGGGCGAAAACGAAAAGTTTGACTTTTGGGATGTTATCATAAGTATCTTACTACCAATGTACGATAGAAAAAAGGTAAAAACTTTTAGATATTTTTACGTAGTGGACCATCTTTGTTGAGATTTGAGCCAAAGTTGGTATTTTTAACTGCAACACCCTGTATATCAACGTTAATTGATCTTCATTCTCTTTCAAGATTACATTGATTTATTACAACCTAATTTTTTTTAATTTTTGCCATGAGCCAATTGTTTACGGTTTTTAAATAGTATAGGCCATGGATTCATGCAGATTTTGTTTTATTTATTGTATCCATGGTAACTAAGGCGGCCGATACCAACCAATAAAAAGGCTGACGGTCGTATCGAAAATTTGAAAAATATCATCCCAAAAAGTCAAAACCTACTTACTGTTTTTAAATAGTAGACCGTGAATTCATGGAGATTTTGTTTTGTTTATTGTATCCATGGTAACGAAGACAGTCGATACCAATAAAAAAATTGCAACATTTATATAGGTAATACAGTATGTACAAGATAAGAATGAGCAGCATGGGGAAATCCGAAACTAAAAGGCACAGAGTTACTTAAATTAGCAAAAAGTTTCGTATTTTAGGGCTTAGTATAATGATGTTTTAAAAATTCGGATTTGGTGTAGTAGGCGTTGACAAAATGTCAAAATAATTCATTGATTGTTCCGTTAAATAACATCATAAAGAATCATATTGTGCCATACATCGTTCTATTCGCAATAAAAAATGCTACCTAATACAGTATGTACTTTTTTCCGGTCCAATACTGGGACTATACTGGGAGGAGATCTAAACGTATACTAACACTATACAGCTATATGAAGAAACAATAACAATTTGCAGAAAAAAGAGATGAGGGAAAATCGGAGGGAACAATGCACATGCTTGAGAGGCAAGGGAGAAATCGGACTGCACATATAGACGAAATCGAGGGACACTTACACATAACAGTTTCTAGGAAGTGCTACAAGGAAAAGAGAGGTGTTTTGGGTAGATAAAGAACTTAAGCAGAGATGGAGAAAAAATTAATACTGAGCCAAAGTGGAGTAATTGTAGGAGAGGAAAGGCCTGGCACATACGGACGACAAAGTTGTAATGGCGACAGTAGAAAAACAGATGAAGGAAATATGGGAAGAATGGAGAGATACTTGGAAAAAAAAAGGAATGGAGTTAATGTAAAAAAATCAAAGAAAGATCGCGGAAAAGCGATAGAAATTGAAGGAAAAAAGAGTAGAAGAAGTGAGAGAATTTAAATATCTGGGCAACCATACGCAAAGAAAGTAATGGAGCAAACGCATATGAAGAAGAAACAAAAATGGAAAAGGCGGTAAAATACGACGAGAAGCGAAAGAAACAGCGATCTGGGTGAGGATGAACGCAAGGGAAAATTTGTGGGAACAGAGAAAAAATTTACTTAAGAAACCAATATGAATAGCAAAAGGTTAGAGATATGCCCTTTTAGGGGTTTGAGTTACAACTTTTTAGAATGGAAAAGGGGGGGGGGATAATGTTTTCTATTCTCAATTTTTTAAGGATGGGATTTTGATATTTTGTTTTTTTACTTTATAAAAAGCACCACATTTGTATGTGACTGTAAAAAAATGAGCACAAAACAGAAGTTTGATATTTCGTTGTCGGTGCTATGGGCCACAGAAATATCCAAGGGAAAGATACAGGAAGACAAAAATAACAGCAAGGTTCGGATGGGGAATTGAATACAGAAGAAATGAAAAATTGAGAAAAGAAGAAGAAAGGAAATGCAAACTATCCGGAAAGAAAGATGATAATATTATAATTAATTTAATATATAATAAATAATTAATATAATTATAATATTCATATTATAAATCATCTGGTATGGGAATGTAGCAGAAAGGAAACATTAAATGAAGAGGAATGGAAAGAAAATATTTTAGAAAAAAGGGGAAACAAGAGAGGAAAGACAAATTAATTAGAGTAGTAGTTTTGTAATATTACGTCAATTTTCAACGAGAATTTCTGAGTTTCCTAAGCTGGGATTCTGTGTTTTGTGTACAAAATGTTTTGTGGATATTGACTCGAATACTACCGAGGCGTTTCATGTGCGAGTTTTCTTAGAAGATGGATATTTTAGGGGAGGCTATTTTCAGTACCCAAATAACATACGCCAACGACTTTTCACACAATTAGGGCTCATTTGAGTTCCATGTAATAATTCGGGATCGTAACCGCAAACGAAGCAAATTAATGAAATTACGGTATGCATTCTAATATTACCCAAACCAAATTCCTCTATCAGTATTCAGTAGGTACTTGTTATGAAATGAAAAAAAATTGGGATAATATTAATTATTGAAAATGACTTGAATACCCTACGAAACACTGGTAAAATTTTTTTGCAGAAAAGTTACACCCTTACTTGTAAGAAATCTAGATTGAAATTCTGCACACGTTCCGCTAAGATTTCTCTTTCATTAAGGTGGCAAAAAAACCAAATGGAATCTCGATTCGCAAATGCCTTCAATAATTAATAGACGAAACCCGAACTTAATTTTTGTAATTTGCACGTATAATGACTGGAGCATTAAATTACATTACAACTGAAATAATTAGAGGTACTTTCCCTTTTCTTGAAATGTGAGCATTTCGGATTAATTACAGATATCTCATGCATGTCGTTTAGGAAATGAAAACGGTTAATTTGCAAGGTACCGTTACTGGTGTCAATTTTTACTTAATTAACTTGGAGGGTGCTAAGTAATTACCATTTGTCCAATCATCGTGGTATCGGAAATCGCACTTGATCACTCTATGCACTTACACATTCTTAAGTACTAGGTAACGTACAGTTTATTAAAGACTAGATTTAGAAGACTTTCACACATTAAATGCCGCGAGCAATTGACAACATATAAACACACATTCTCATTACACCTGTTGCTGATGATGACCTACTGTTGGTCTACGTTGTCGGTATCCATCTGAATCTAAACTCTAGAGACAATGTCGAAGGCTTCCTAGTTTATCCCCACCGCGGGCGTCAAATACTACGCTGCTACTATATAATGAACGGAACACCTCCCTCGCATTCCTTTCGTCAGGGGATGATGGCTTAAGTGCTTTCTAGATTTTATCGAGCTGGGAGCCAGGCGTCCTTTATGAATTGGCCTTATTCGTAAAATTTGGTAGTTTTATCTCGAAAAGTTGGCGCCGACACTATTAAATTTCGACGAGACACAGATTTAGGAATCTGGGATGAAATTAGTTCGGAATTGTCACTAAGGGCGGAACGAATTTGCTATCTTCAACAAAAGTGGATTGTCTACGTCTACCCATTGATCAATGGTAACTTGCTACCAACAAAAATTCAGAAGGTCTCCCGTAGAATAAATCAGCATCGAAATCCAAATTTTGACGATTGTAATTTGTAATTTTCATTTAAATAAACAAAAATTTCAAAAATACGTCCATTTGGATAGCTAGTGGGAAGATTAACATTTTTACCTCCGCACTCCCTATCCCTACTTTAAAATTATAATGCATCTCCAAACGAGAGTGAGGAGTAAAACTATCACTGGAATTACTAAACATTTTCCAGAAATCATCTATCATTATTTTTATTGATTCGCAAAAATTCTTCAGTGATTCGGTAGGGAATCTCCAAATAAAAACCCGAAAAATTCGCACTTGAATTTCTAAAGATCTTGCCGAAACTATTTTTTTGAAGGACCTATAAGAAAGAAAACCTAAGAGATCTAGAGTTTGTAACGCAATTCTCTCAAGAATCAATCACTGAAAAACGTTCAAAGGATCTTTGTAGAACCTAAACAATTTCTGAAAAATGTCCGAAAACCATTAAGCCTCAGAGGATTCTTTAACAATGCCTTAAAAATTCCTGAAGAATGTTTGTAGAACCTTTACCAAACCTCGAAACTTCAATAAAAATTCTCTAAAAATGAGAAAATACTTATTACTAATAATTTGTTTATTGACTAAAGTCAAGCAAAGTTGCTCCCAATTAGTATTTGGATAAGTAGCCACTAGAAAATGCCGCTTGTCGTCTTTTTGTTGATTTTAACTTAAATTTTAATCATGATGAAAATTGCATTACGTATCTACGTATACAGTATACAACATCGGAAAATCGAAAACCATATGAGATACACAGTCGGTTAAGTTAGAAAAATGTTAGGTATTTTAGGGCTTGGACCAATGATGTTTTAAAAATTGGGAAATTCCGATCAGTTCCGAAGTATTCGAAAAAAAACGAAATTTACCATATTCGTTTTTATTTTTTCTAAAAAAATCAAAAAACATATATCACTGCTTCATAGGCATTTTTAAGCTCTACAAGATGGTGCTCACAGATTTTCTCTGCGACATTTCGTCTTTGAAAAACCATCATCAACTTCTTATTTGTATATGGATCGGAAAAGGTATACATACAGTATTGTGTAGCATTCTTTATTACGAAGACGGCGATGTATGGCACAATATGATTATACCATTTAAAGGAACCATCAATGAATTATTTTGAAATTTTCTGAACGCCTATTACACCAAAAAAATGTTAAAAATTGTTTATAATTAAGTCAGAAAAACGACTTGCTATTAAATTTTTAACATTTTGGTGTGGTAGGCGTTGATAGAATGCCAAAATAAATCATTGGTGGTTCCTTCAAATGGCATACTAAAGATTCATATTGCGCCATACAGCGTAGTATTCGTAATAAAAAATGCTACCCAATGGGCCAATGCAGTATGTACTTTTTTCCAATCCAAAAATATGAAGTAGACGATGGTTTCTCAAAGACAAACGTCGCAATGAAAACCCTTGGGTTGTAGAGCTTAAAAAATGCCTATGAGGAAGGGTTATTTGTTTTTTGACATGTTTTCAGAAAAAAAATATGGTTAATTTCGGTTTTTTTTTTCAAATATCGTCGGAACTGATCGGATTGGCCGAATTTCTAAACAATCATTTTACTAATCTCTAAAATACGCAACATTTTTCTAATTTAACCCACTGTCACACTGTGTATCTCTTATGGTTTCCGATTTCCCCGTGCATTTTTATCTTGGACCCAGTGTATATACTGTACAGGGAGTTCTATTAGTAACGCTCGAGGAATAAGATTTTGTTAACAAAAGAGGCCAAGAGAAATTGCTGGAAATTATTTTGAAGTTTCTAAGTTTACCGCTAGATGGAGTATGATTGATGTTAAGGAAAAATATACCCAACAAACATGCATAAAAAGTACAAGCATGCATTTTGCATCATTTGGATGCAGCAAATGGGGTGGGCTAAGGGGAACATCTCTTTAAAGATTGGAATGTAACTTCGGATTAGGTTAATCTACATATTTTCGCATGATTGGTCTTATTGGAAGGAGCTCTCTTCGTGAAATCAGATTTTACATGAATGGAGTATTTTTAGTAAACGTGGCGAATGGTTTGGTTTGACATTAATATAAACTTCGCAGATTTTCTTGAAAATTTCAAATGAAATGATATAATTATTATATGATATTATCAACTAAGATGAAAAAAATAAAATATCAGTGAAAACCGCAAGATATGGCGAAAACATTCACAAATTTAAATTTCAATATTTATATTCATCCAAGTTGGCATTGAAACAACAGAACACATAACTAACGATAATGAGACTATGGCAGTTCAAACGTATCACTTAATGTAAGTTTTTAAACTATGAGCAACAAATAAATTATACAAACTTTAAATCCGAGAAATATACTTAAATTAAATAATAAAGGAAACAATAATTAGAACTAATGTAAATGTTGATCTGCCATCATTTTCGATACAGTATAGAGAACAGCAGCTTCAATTTCAGTCATAAATATGTTATGAATTTCATGTCTAATTCTCGCCCTGTTTTTTATCCTCCTAACTACTAAAAGCATAAGTGTGTTAGGTCGTATGACCTAGCTGGCCATGGAAAACACTCCCCCTTCATAACAATTGGCCAGAAGACCGCAAATTCAAATAATGTCGCACATTCAGCGAGAAATGTGCCGTGCCGTGTTGAAACAAAAATATTTTTTAGGTTGAGATTTTTTCTCAGTTTTTTGTAATTAAACCTGACAGAATTTTTGTATATTGTACAGGGGGGTTCATATTCATGGCTCATCATTGGGATCTCTGTAACGGTGAGAGATACAGTGTAGGTAAATGGGAGCAAAGTTTCCCTTTTTGTGTGACAAAAAAACTTTTGAAATTTTTGAAAAATTTGTGAAAATGACTGAGATGTCACCGAAAAACTGAAAATGTCAAATTTCGTGTCCATTTCTCATACCTTAAACGGCCAGAAATGTGCGGTTCCCGTTAGCACCTTCCGAGGCACCTTCTATGGGCACTAGTTTCGGAGAATCTGAACCTGTTATTAGAATTTCCATATCACGCTGGATTCTTAAGGGCGCCATATTGGATTTTTACGGAATGAGATAAAGGAAAAAAAAAGAATAATAATGACGTGTCACAACTCTTTATACATTTTACGTTCATTTCTCAAGAAATCATCCACGGGTAACTAGATCTTGCTAAATCAACATGGCTACGATACATTCATTCATTCATTTCTATTTTTTGTTTTTTTTATGGAAATGTCCACTTTAAGATGGGACAAATCAAAATCCTTATGGAAAAATTGATCATACAATTAATAAAAAAACTGACAAGACATGATTTTGAAAGGTTTTTAAGAAGTAAGTGATTCAAAAGAAATAGAACCGGTCCCGCCGGAGGGAGAGGAGGGGGGTTGACAGTACACTTTTGCGGTTTTTCAGCTAGAAAATGGCGGATCGTAGTATATTTCCTAGAATGACTGGACTATGGGCGGATTCGGTTCCGGTGTATGACGCGGCAAACAGCACAAAATTGCGGTGCAAAAAGAAACCCAAGTTGGACGTGAGCTCCATTCATTCCATCATAAAAGCACGAAAATTAGTCAAAAGTTTAATATTTCGACACCCGTACTCCATTTTTACGGACCCCATTATTCTAACATCTAATTAAAATGACGGTAGTTGATTAAGCAAAAAACGGCCGTCAAGTTTAAATTGGCCTGGAACAATTTTAATTTTCTAAGGATTCATGTATATTTCATGACGGAAATATCCTCATAGGTATATTTCAACTTCACGCTGACCAACAATCCCGAAGGATCACGATCATAACCCACATAATTCCAGCGTACTTTATGGAACTTCGAGAACGACGCACGACAAACATCAAAAGGTTATAAAATTTCTATTACCGTCGATAAAACGGGCATTATTTCTGTCTAATTTAAGCACAAATATTTCCGTGGTTTAGGCAAATACGCACACTTTTCAAATTTTATTATAAGATTTTCTATTTTGGACCGCCTCTCGATGTTTTATCACCGGACTATTTTGGTAGCGGCGGTGATGAGTAAATTATAATGTATAATAAGACTAAATGTGTCGCGGTTATATCGATGAAAAAAGTACACAAGCCAACAAATCCAAATATGGCAAACGCAAACTGGGGAAATTTGCAAAACAGGAAACACATTTAAATCGTGATACGTCCGGTTAAAGCTAAATGTGTGTTTTTTGGCACCCGAGTTTACGCAAAAATATGAGCAGTGCAAAAGTTAAACAAATGTGTTTTGCAAGTTCGAATTATGTAACTTTTTACTAGCGGGTTGCACTAAAAAAGCATCGTTATGTATGTGTTACATTCCCATAAAAGGTAAAATTTCAATGCGCAATAATTAGTCGAGTTATGTAAAGCTATTTTGTAGAACACACAGTCGCTAGAGATCTGACAAAGGGCCTAAATGCATAAAACCTCGTAGCGAGACTCAAAGCAATGTAATAATTCAACATTTTCCTAATTTCTATTACGACACGCCTTGGAATCGGTAGGTTGAGTTACCAAAATTATTGAAACCAAATACCAAAAATTGCGTATTTAGATTGCCCTAATCTATTAAGGTTCGCGAAGTT